TTGTAATTATATAAGAGTCAAATTTCTTTAAAGTTTATTCATATTAAGGTTAAGGTCTATGCTAATGTTAAGATTAGAAAAGATTTAATAGTAAAATTAGTCCAAGAAAATTTTTTGTTAGAACAATATAGGTGATTTCTTATGCTATGTTTTGAGAAATAAATGATTTTTGTCAAAATGAATGTTTATTTTGAATTTTTCTAATTATGTAATATTCCACTGATCTTGAAATCTAATTTATTTACATCACAAAAATTTCATGTGACTGCAACTTTTTCAGACAATACTGAGGTTGTTTGGTGCAAACCAATGAGATTACAAGCAAAACAAACATTTGTTTTGTTAAAACTTAGCCAAAACTTGAAAATTTATATTGGAAACCACTTTAATACATCATTAAAAATTTCCCCTAAGCGATTTTGCTAATATACTCAACTATTATCTGATTATAATATAATGCTATGCTAACCCTAATTTTTACGAATTAGGAAATTTTATCAGTCACGTGGCTGTGTTTTTTGGTGGCGATACTGGGGAAGATGAAAATCAAGACTTTCGGTAGGACTTTGACTTTCCTGTCCGAAAGTACTTTCGATATACTTTCAGTTTCGGTAGGTATCGAAAGTACCTACTTTCATAGTCATCCTTAGTCACAAGAACGCCAAATTTTTACACCATCACCATTTCTCTTGGACACTTCGCCCAGTTTCAGACAGTTCGCCAAGTTTCAGACATTTCGCCTAGTTTCGGATGTTTAGCCCAGTTTCAGAGGTTCTCCCAGTTTCGGACATTTCCCCAGTTTCGGACGTTCCGCCTAGTTTCAGACGTTTCGCCCAGTTTCGGATTTTGGGCGAAACCGAAACTCAAAATCCGAAACGTTTCTGACTTCGGTAAAGGGTTTAAGCCGTAACACTAGACACCACCTTCTGAATCGTTTTCATTAGACTTTTTAGACAATCCAAGATCCGAGACGTAGGATTGCACAAGTTTACCAATGCCTTATGTTTAAAATATGCCATTATGAAGGTCTGCATGAACATATCCTGTATTATGAATGTCTTCTAAATTATCAGAAATATCATAGAGTAGTTTTAACTTGGTTTTGCCAAGAAAATTTTTTCTTAAAAACCTATGAAGACCTCCATTATCAGCGTATTGAAACACCATCAAGTATCCACTTGTTTCTGTATTCTTACTCAATCCATATATTTCAAATTTTTTACCCACAAATGTACATTTCATATGATTGTCAAACTGCATCAATGTATGTAATCAGTTCAATAAACTGTACAATAAAAATCATTAACTTTTAAAAAATTACGAAGATTAATTCTAGAACCAGATAAGGTCTTAAATGCAACTGTGCTAGGTGGTTCACAGGATCTTACATAATTAACCCAATCTCCATCGACTTTTCGTATACTATCCAGCCAGATTGCAATAAATACAGTGCCAAATCCACCTATACCTATTTGTTCAGTAATAATTATTCTATTAAATGAAAACCACTCCACCATACGTTCATGATTATAAGCTCTGAGTTGAACCTTTTTTAAGTAAATATCAATATCCTAATTTCCACTCGTCCATCCTTAAATTGTTATGTCTGGATCACTACGCTTTACGAATGTTATATTTATTACAATGTGTACATTTCTCATAATCTGAATTTCTGTTATTAATTACATTATATTAGTTATCCTTAAATCTAAATACATATAATTTTATACTCACTGACTAATTAAAGCAAGCAAAATAACATTAAATAGTAGATATTCAAGAACTTGAATAGTTAATCATTTAACTATTAATATTTCTTATACTCACTTACTATAGTATGCTAAATACAATTAAATAGTAAATATTCATGAACTTAAATAGCATAATTAAAATACTTAGATTAATAAATCTTATTTATACCCACGCGCTAAATTAATGTAAATGAAATGAAGTTAAATAATAAATATTTATGAATTTGGATAGCGTTTTTAAATACTTAGAAAGATAATGTTCTTTATATTACTAACTGTAGCATGTTAATTAAACAGTAAACATTCAATAACTTGCATAGCTTATTTTAATACTAATGTTCTTTATACTCACTCACTGCAATATGTTAAATAAAGTTAAATAGTAAATGACCAATAATTTAAATGACTTATTTTAATGTTTAAATTAATAAATGTTATTTATACCCACTTACTTTATATATTAAATAAAAGTAAGCAGTAAATATTCAAGAATTTGAATAGTTAATTTAAAAAATACTTGGTTTAATAATTGTTCTTTATGCTTACATACTACAGTATATTAAAATATAATTAGATAGTAAACATTAATTAACTTGAACAACTTATTTTAAATACTTAGATTAATAAAACTTCTTTATATTCGCACGCTAAATTAATGTAAATAAGACGAGGTTAAATAATAAATATTTATACATCAATAGTTTAATTTAAATACTTAGATTAATAAATATTTTTTATGCTTACAAACTGCAGTATGTAATAAAATTAGATAGTAAAAATTCAAGAGCTTGAATAGCTTATTTTAGAAATACTTTGTTTAATAAATATTATTTATACTCATGGACTGAAATCAATTAAATAGTAAATAATTATAAATTTGCATGACCTATTTTAAATACTTAATTAAACCAATAAATATGTTTTATACACACTTATTGCAATATGTTAAATAAATAGTAAATATTTATAAAATTTAATAGCTTATTTTAAATACTTAACTTATTAAATGTTCTTTATACTTACTCACTATAGTAAAATGCGTATGCATGAGCTTAAATAGTTTATTGCTAATACTTATATTTATAAATATTTTTTATACTTACCAGCTGAGATAAAAAATTTATACGTAGTAAATATTATATAGTTAAATATATAGCCTATTTAAACATCTTAAATACTCACAAACTACAATCTAATAAGTAAAAATTAAATAGTAAATATTTATGAAATTAATAGCTTGTTTCAACGTTTAGATTAATGAAATTCTTTACACTCACGAACTGCAGCATATTAACAAAATCAAATAGTAAATATTCATGAACTTGAATAGCTTATTTAATACTTAACATCACGACTAATTTATGATATTTAAGTTATTTGGTTTCAAATTGGTGTTTAAAATTCAAAAAAATTGGGTTCGCAAATTGAAAATTTCATGTAACAATGTAGAAATTTACATGCACTATGCAAGCACTGTTCCCGATTTAAAATTTAGTTGCCAAATTATATATAATAAATAAATACTTAACCCCAAAATATTATTTTAATTTTTATCTTGTTTGATAACGCGTTTAACCATAGGCTTACCCTCCTTCCCCACTTTATTAGACAGAAATTTATTATTATAACGCAGTGTAACCTGGGTTTCATTCAAATTAGTACTATTTTATTTGCAGTCAAATTTTCGGGGTATTTCATAAATTCACTAATATATATTCTTTATACTCACTAACTGTAGCATATTAAATAGTATTTATTCATAGACTTGAATAATTAATTTAATGCTTAGATTAATAAGTGCTATTCATACTCACGGACTAAATTGAAATATAGTAATAAATGTTAGTGAGCTTGAAAATTTTAAATATTTGAATAATAAATCTTTATGGTCGCCCACTAAATTAACATAAATATAATAAACTAATGGTAATAATTCATGAACTTTAACAGCTTATTTTAAATTCTTCGATTAAATATTTTATACTCGCATACTGTAGATGTTAAATAAAAATTAAATAGTAACTATTAGATGTTAAATATTCATAAACATAAATAGATTGTTTTAAACACTTTGATTATAATCACACACTACAATATGTTAAATGAAATTAAATAGTAAATATTCATGAGCTTGACTAGCCTATCTTCAAATATTTAAGAAATGTTTTTTTTTTATACTACAGTATTTACAGACTAGATCAAGGCGAATAAAATGATTTTGTGTCATATTATGTAAAAATAAATAATCATAATCATTGATTTTGATATTTAATACAATTAATATTATACTTTCTCTCTAAAAAAATTACGTTAAAAAGGTCCAATTCATAAAGTAAAATTCAAATATATTAACGATATAAGCAAATAACATACTTGTTAATCCACTCTCTGTATTTGTCATTATTTGTTTTACACCAATTCCGTATTTGTAACAAATGGCAGTTTTAAAAATTCCCATAGAATTGCCTCCCTTATTTGACTTTAAATAAAGCTCAAATGCTTATCGATTTCAACCCCAATTCCTAAATAATAACAATATATAACTTGATATATGCCGATACGGTTATTCATTTCTGTTAATGTTTGATAATGAATAATTTATTTTTATTCTTTTCCACTGAAATTCTATGTTCGTAACAATAGCAAAGTCAGAATATTTCATCCGGATCATTCATGTCAATAAAATTCAATTGATTAAAAGCATCAGCGAGGCGCTTGAATAATAGTTATTAACTTTTCTTTTGGCAGTTAGGTATAAAAGCTATATATTATATAAGAAATAATTTCGTCAAAATGTAACACTTTTAACAATAATTTGTTCAAATTCTTTATTGAATACTTTTTCAGGTAATACATTCGTACGTATATATCAATTCTTTGTGCATCAATACTTGTGGGGAGTATATTGTGCCACTATTTTAGTCACACTTGACAAAATTTTATCCGCTAAAATTAGGTATTGTGTCTAAAGTAGAAACTCTGAACGTGACAGATACGTGCGCACTTACGTAGATGAATGGTTAACTTTCAAACAAGTGGTACCACCAATGATTGACACACAAAGTATGGACTATGTATATGAAGCAGTGTTTAATAAAGATTTATAGTAGCGGGTAGATTGGCGATTTTAATGGTGGACTGGTTAATAGTTTCAATAATGGATTGGTTAATGAAATAGATTCATGATTCAGGTAATGGGTGAGCTGGTGATTTTAATAGTAGGTGAGAGGTTGTTTTTAATAAGGAAATCTATAATTTCAATTGTGGTTTGTTTGTTATTTCAACGGTGTTTGGGTCAATGGTTTTGGTGATCTCAACCGTGGGGAGTTGGTGATTTAGCAGCGGGTGAATTTGAACTTTAACTGTGCATGTATCTACGATTTCGATAGTTGGTGGGTTCTTGATTCTAATAGTGGGTGAGTTCATGATTTAGTAGGCAGGTGGATTCATAATAAGGGGATAGTAATCTTAACATTGATGAGTTTCAGCAGCGGGCTAATGATTTTAGCAGTGATGGTTGTAATTTTAATAATGATGGTTATAATTTTAATAACGAGCGGGTTTCTGATTTTAATGATAGGATTGTTTGTAATTTCAATAATAGGTAGGTATGTGACCTCAGCGTTGAATAGATTTATAATTTCAACAGTAAACCGATTAGTAATTTCAATAATGGAGTAATATTGATATTGCGATTTTTTAAAAGTAAATATTTATAAGTTCAACTTTAGGTAGTTTCAAATCTTCATCAATAGATGAGCTTGCAATTTCAGTGAATTTACAACTAGTTTGTGATTTAACGCAAAAATATTTAATTCATCTTACATTGATTTAATTAAAGCATAGAAGTGATATTTCAAGCATCTTGACATCTAGTACATTGATTTATATAAAACTGACATTTTATTGTCTGTTATAATAACCTAAACTAGTAATAATTATAAATAAGGATTAAAATTTGTTCGTAGTTCCAGCAGAATTATGGTTTATGATAAGAATTGTCTTACACCTATTTTCGTAAATTCTGAGACAACTGGAAAATTTTTCAAACGGTCGAATCGATAAGTTACAGAGTTAGGATCTGTAAGTTGATGATATAGGCCGAAATCAATATTTATCGATGTTACATATTAAGAAAATTTTAAGTGGTTTCAATCCCTATGCGACATATGAACAACTGCAAGATTTGATAAATGTTTGTCCTAAATTATTTATAATACTACTCTTAATGTAATATGAACTATTTGAGTAATTAAGATCTGCTAAATTTGAATAAAATATACTGGAAAATGTTGAAGGATTAAGATTTGGCCTGATTAAAATTCAATATCAAGTTTTTGATAAATACTGAAACTTTTGTTATTAAATTTGATTAACCATGTTCTAACAAGTTCTGAATTTCTGTGACTTCTCGACTGCCATGAAGTAACTGCAAATTAGATAATCCACAAGAATTTTCTTCATTTAAGGATAAAATATCGTTGTTGGTAACTGTATTTTCATCTAAATTATTATTTTGATCTAGCGTCACAGCAGAAATCAGCTGAATTAAAGTTTTAAGAATTATTCCCGTTTCCGGGCGAATAATAGGATTTTCATCCCAACATTTTTGATAAAGTTAAACATAAGGATCTGGTGTGCCATTTATCGGATTTTCTCTGATTCCCATATATATCTGGAAAGCAACTTCAGTCATTGAATTTGAAGATTTGAATGGTTTTTGTCCACTTGAAATTTCCCAAAGAAGTACTCCAAGACTATAGATATCGGATTCCTTATTACGCTTATATCCAGGATTTTTGAAGCATTGAGGATCTACATAGGCTGTCATTCCGTGAACAACAGAATTAGAAGTCATTTGTATTTTATCGATCTGTTTTGACAATCCAAAATCTGAAATTTTCACTTGTTCTTGATTAATTAAAATATTCTTTGAATGCTACAAAACACATAATTTCAATTAAAATTATATTTAAAATTCTGATTATGTGCTGCTTGGAAATTCCATAAATGATATACTTACAAGATCACGATGAACAATATGATGATTATGTAAAAAAATGAGTCCATGCACTATTTCTTTAGCAATACGTAATTTGTTTCTCCATTGAAGTTCGTTAAAATTTTTTCCTAAATATTTCTTGTAAATTTCCATCTTTGGCAAACTCCAAAACCATATTATAACGTCCATTATCATCTTTTTTTTTTTAAGTGTAATTATTATTTGAATTAATATTATGGCTAAATAAGAAACAAACGCATACCTTTCGTAACACTATGGAACGCAATAATATTTGGATGGCCACTGACTTTTCGTAGTAGTTTAAGCTTCATATATAAAATTAAGATAGAATTTGACAAATGAATGTTAAATTATTAAATTTAAGTTTATTAGTATAAATTTTACCTCATATCATTGTTATTCCACAAATATATAGAAACTGATCCAAAACCTCCATCACCAATTTCTGTACAAAAAATGAACTGACTGTATTTAATATAATTAATATGCCCCTCATAGAGAGCATTTTCAAGCCAGCTTTCTGAGGAATTTACATGGATAATGCTCGATTTTTTAGAAAGTTTGGCTACTTCAGATTTTAAGTCACGTATTTCTTGAAACATAACTTCCAATTTAAGATTAATTGTATTTATTTTATCATTATTATTGACAAATTCTTGAGCTATTAAATCATTTTTATCACCAACTTGATCAACTTTATCGTTAATGTCATTAATTTTAAATTTAAGTTTTTAAAAGATAAACATTTTAAATTGGTTTTTAATGATATTTTAAAACAGAAAATGATTTTTTTACATCCTCGATATATTTTAGAGATTCATCTTTTTCATTTTTGCTAGTCATGGTCAGGCCAAACTGTAAATCCCTCATGCTTTTGTCATATTCTTTAGTTAATTTATTAAATTTTTGCTTAATATCTCCTGCATTTATAAATCTTTTAAAGCCTTTCAATTTTGATACATCTCGAGTAAACTTCTTCATATTTTGTAAAACATTTATAAAACTTGTTATAGCAATGTAGGTTCCGTAAGAATAATTTGCATCCTTTTCCTTTAACTTCAGTTGGTTTATCGCATCTTCTGTCACTTTAACTCGGTTTAGAAAAAGAAAACAAATCTCTTTGTTACATTCTGCATCCTCATAAATTTGAGTAATTTCCTTGGTAATCAACCTAACTTCATTAAACATCGGAACATACATTTTATGGTGGCTACGTATAGTATTACTATCGCAATTAAAGTTTCTGGTGAAAATAAATAATGATGGTGTCGCGGGTAAATAGAGTGGATCCTAGGATGGAGCGAATGCGACGAATTGTCGCTCCAGAATCGTCAACATCGCATAACGTTACTCGAAAGTGAGACAAGGCGGATTCGATTTGGCAATGGCTAAGGCGGCTCTCGAGTAAATTACTGGGTACGTATAGGGACTTTTCAAATGAACGTTTATGTCTATTTCTCTCTTGACACTTTTTATATTTTTATAAAAGTTTATATTTATTATTAATTTATTTTAATTTCCTTTAAGTTACAGGAATATAGGGGGCCAGAGGGGTCATATCCCACTTAATGTCGAAATGGAGGGCTATTTATAATGAATTATCAAGGAAGTATCTTGGGAGCGTTCTTCCTTTTTTCTATTTTAATGTTCTCTTTTCTGTTAATAGTACAATCCCACCTTTTGACTCATGATTCCGTCTTTTAATTACCTTCTCTATTTCGTAGGTCTCGCTAATAAAGCTACAGCCGCATCTCCCAAAAAGTCTTTGCGGGTTTAAGGCTCTGTTGTAGGCCCGTGAAAGTGAGTATCACACCTTTTCTTGTTGCGCATCTTGGTGATTCTACTAAGTCTTTCTTTCTTTTTAGGTTAGCGATAATTGTCGCATGTGGGGCCCAGTCTTAAACTCGTGGGTGCCTTGTTCCGAATCTTGGGGCTTCTCTTGATACAATGGGGAGAAATCGGGTTACACGATCACCGGTTTTGGGTCCCGATCCAGATTTCGATTCCGGTCACGTTTTCGGTCACGTTTTCGATGATTGTTATGCAACGGCTTTAACCGGATTTCCCTTTAACAATGGTAAAAATGATTTGCCACGTAGCACTGGGAATCAGAATCTAAAATAAATGCAGATACATGATTGGCTAAAAATTATTTCCAACCAATCGTAAATTTGCATTTATTTTAGGTTTCTGATTCCTAGTGTGATTTGTGTAGTAACAAACTATTTGAGACGTCCTAAATAGTTTGGGTTACATCTATAAGTGTTATACATGAAATTTGCTACACATAGTAATTTGAAAAATGCAACAAATTTCGCCAGTTTCACCAGCAACTCTAGTCACAACCTATTGTAATACAACTACCAAAAATGTAACCATGCTTGCATAACGGAAGTGTATGGTTTATATGTTCATGTAATAGATGCAAACATTTAAATAAGCAATTTTTAGATGTTTACCAGCATTGTGATGCAGTTCAAAATTCTTTAAAGTTTATTTATATTAAGATTAGGGTTTTTATATATTGTTAGACCTGAAACCCGTGATCCACGAGTGGCAATTTTGTCATGGACTTCGCCGTTCAACCTCAAGTCACGCCTTCCCAGAATATGAAGATCTTCTGCTATATTTGAGATAACTATGCATATAACGATAATGATTATAATGCATATATTGCATATATTGATTATAATCATTATATATGATTTTTTTTTTTTTAAATATTAAGGTAAGTACTTGCGACCCAGGATTTTATTGATAGTATATTTGGCTAATGGTTGCATT